GTATTGTAGATCATTACTTTCAACACATGGATAGTGTTATTAAAGGTTCATACTTTTAAAACTTCTAAAATAAAAACTACTGGTATAGATTCTTTCAATAAACTGAAACAAATGTGTTGTAAACAAAACATTTTCAAATTCTGTCTTGAGTAAACAAACACATTAAATTCATATAAAAATACTGAGAAGAAACATACAATAAATTATCTGTTGAGGCTTATCAGCAAAAATTAGCATAATAATGATAGAATAAATGCATGCTTGAGTAAGGAAACACATTATGCTAATATAATAATGGGTAGGCAAACAATGATTTATAAACACAAGAAAAAGTTTTATTGATGGTGGAACATACTACGTTTCCACACGTAGTATGTTCCATCATCAATAAAACATTTCCTTGTGTTTATTAATTGTTGTTTGCCTACCTATTATTAGAATAAATACATGATCTTTTAATAGATTTAAATATAAATTTATTACTATCATTATTATGAGAACCTGTTTCCTGATATAATTTTAAGTTAGTACCCATCAAATTAACATTTTATGGACGACTTCATTATGAAACTTGCTCATGCAAGTAACAGGAATGAAATTATCATTGATTGATACACATAATCATCCAGTTTTTGAAAGGCAAAGAACATTCAAGGTTGGGGTTTTTCTAAAAGGTTAATGTAACTACTGCAATTTCTTCGATTTACTAAATTACATATACATAAGTACACATGGTCTTTACCTTAGCTCGAGTGTAAAATATGATGCTAGATGCTGACGTTCACAATTGCCTTGAATTACAAAACTTGTGAGTTCTTGTAAACAGAAATTTAACTGCCAAGGCAATTACTTCAGTAAAATAAACAAACACAGTGAGAAACTATTAAGTTATTGCCTTTCCATGGCATACAAATAATAAAAAACCATTACTAACTTACTAGACAAAAGCCCTGCATAACCCTGAGGCATTAAACAAAATAAGAAACTTTAGAACTTTACAATATAATCAACAAAAGAAAAAAAAGGAAGTGAGCTCTACTACACGTAAATTGTAAGAAAGAAAAATAATCTCAGGTTTCAAATATATATATATATTTGAGTTTTTCAACTTCAGAAACTTTAAACTTAAATGAAACATGAATATTTGAATTTTACAGTTCCTAATATCATCAGTTTCAGAAATTAATTGTTCTCACATTATGAGTTAAAAAAAGCCTCAAAAGGTGTAAAGTTTACAGATTTGTCACTTAGTTTTATTCACTGACAAGTTGTTTGTATGCAGGTGGGAAACTTAATAGTTTCCACCAACTTATTAATAATTACAACAGAGGGCAAAAATCAAAAATTAGGACTAGCAGTTTCAATTTCATTTAACTACATCACCTAAAACAAATGCTAATAAAATTTACATCAAAATGAAATATAAAATCTCTACATTTCGGATATAATTTAATTTTGGAGATAATTTAATTTTAAGGGATACATCACACATAATTTTTCAGAACTTAATGTTGCCCATTTACCCCTGTAAAAACCAGAAATATCAAGCCCACAGTTTTCAGACATACTCCTGGCACCTATTACACACTATAAATTCTATGCCACTTACCCCTGAACTATTTCTAACCATATTAAAATTGAATAGTTTTACTATTCTATTTTTGAGTTACTCATCCAACAATTGTACATTTAATGAAAAATTATGCTATTTCACATTATATAGAGTAAACTAACATTAAAATATCCTATTAATTAATAAAATTATTTATTTGTTACCAAGATTGTTTTAGGGGATTGATAGGATAAAAACCTTTAATTTCTTTGTGCATTATTCTGAAGACAATAACAGGAGAAAAATTTAAGGTCTGGATAAGACACGATAGGTTCCAGTTAAGCCAGTTTTCTTTTTCTAATACTAACAGGCTGGTTGGCTCATGAAATAAGCTGCCACTGGCTGTGGCCTGCAAATTTACAAGTTCAGAAGGGTCCTTGATAACTTCTTGAAAAATAAAGGATGGGTTTAAGTTTCTACTTCTCAAAGGTGGTTGTACAGAAAGAGGCTTGAAAGACTAAATGGTCCCTTGTTGTCCATATGTTATGTAACTTATGCCTAATAATCTACTGTTAAGCTTTATATAATAACTTTATGCTTAACTAGACTTGCTGCAATAAAACCTAGAAGTGTCTAAGCCTAACTAAAATAGTTAATCTTTAATAATAATTTTCTTCTCCAGAAAACTATTTCTAATTTCTCTGTATCAAAGCTCAAAAATATTATGTTCTTTACTCTCAACAGCTCCCTCTATTATCATATCCAAATTCTTCTCATTCTTCACAACACTGATATTTTTTCCACACAAAAACAATGAGATCTTTCCATACTCTAAATACATCACTTAGCACTTTTACACAGATCAGCCCACTCAGCAAAATTGTCAAAAGTCTTTATTCTTCAATGAAACTATTTCCAAAAAATCAGCCTTATTCGTCAATTTAATATCATCAGCAAACTCAGAAATCTTACAGCTTATAGCAGTGTTTTCCAAACTGTATGTTGCAACACACTAGTGTATTTTGGCAAATTGATAGGGGTATCAAGATAGTTTCACCAAACAAAGAATAATTAAGAGCATTAAAAAAAAACTCAAGAAAAAATATTGCACGTGGCAGTAGGGGTCTCGCACAAATAAAAGTAAGTGGGTTAGGGCGTCGTCAGTGAAAAAAGGCTGGAAACCACTAGATTATGAAGAAAAGATTGATAAGATAGCAATTTCTTTAAAAGTGATAAGAAACTAAGTTTGCATTCTTGTTTAAAAAAAAAATTTGAAAAAGCTTGGAATGTCCTTTGAACAAAACTGAAGTTCTGCAAATAGCGTTCTTAAAGTTTGAAAAAGCTGAATACATATTTAGCTGGACATTATTATATCTAACGAGTTCTGTGAAATCATGCAAGTTCCTAATGATTGGTAATAACAAATTTGATCAACATTTTTGTAAATATGTTACAAGATACAGAAATAAGTTACTAGATTGTTATATGAAATAACAATTACAAGAGGCTTAAAAATTTAGGACCATTTTCTCAACAGCATCAGAGGTGAGTTAACTCAGGTATCCAAAATTATCATTAAGGGGTTTAGAGTCATTTATGGTGGTGAGTGGTACAATGAAATTTTATTTTTGTGGAAGACCTAAATAACCCAGTAAAAAAATTCTTTAAGATAATATATTGTGTCAGATTCAATATAGCAGCTTCTCTTGCAAGCTTGTCAGCTTCCTCATTTACCCCTGCATGACCTGTTACATACATCCAGGTGAGGGTCTGACCAGGCAGTGCTTTGCTTTCCAGCTGGGAGAACAACTACTCTGAATTTTATACATTATAGATTGTGAGTCAGTTGAAAATATTTTAGGCCTATTGTTTTTCTGCACTTTTTCAACCTTTAGCATTTATCCTGGAATTTTATAAAATATTATGGTGATGGCATGGACTATCTACAGTTCTTTATTTTCATCAATACAGGGAAGAGCTAGCTTCACGACTTGAAGCACCATCTTTGAGCTGCTTGTGGGAGGCTTGAATACTACACTAGCCTTATGCAGAATTTTACAGCTCCATGATACAATGAATGCCCAATCCATCTCTCACTATCTGTTGTGTAGGAACCATCTGTGTCTATGATGACAGATAACTGTCCACTAAGGTCTTCAAACAGGAGCTGACAGGCTTCTTCTGTTATACTTTCTACCCAATCTCTACATGTTCTATCTACCCTAATTTCCACAGATGTTTCTTCCACATGGGAACACCCGAGATCTGGTAGGGACCAATTATTTCAATGGTGGCTGTACATCACCTGTCCACTTATGATTCTCTCCTGAGACACCTTTTAGGTAAATCCCTGCTTAGTTGGTGTCTGCAGGATCATTGTTAAGCTAAAATGTCCCAATCAAAAAGTGCAGTGGCAACCTAATGGAATATCAATTCTCTGTGCTGCAAGTCCCTAGTGAAAACCTTTGATAGTAAGTGCTACAATAGGGCCTTCACAGGGCGGATAAAGTATATCCCATGATCAGTTTTAAAAGATGTTTTGTATTTTTTCAATCTTGTGTAGCTGCATAACACTCATAATAACCATCACTGTTGCATTATCCAGGACAGAGCATACAAGACTTTGGTAGAGTATAAGAAAGTGACATTCTTCAGCTCTACTTCCTGCTGAAACTTTGCACTGATGCCTTTGATAGTTTTGGTTATCATGGTGTTAATGTAGCTGGTGAAGTTGAGTTGACTGTAAATAAAAAGTTACAATCAGATACTTTCTTTTTCTTTCCAATCTTTTTCTTCATCAGCATGTCCGTTTCTAAGTATGCAGAACATGGCTGTGGCTTTGGTGGGATTTAGGATGATTCCTGTGTCATTGCATGTTATTCACCCTAAGAGATGGTTACATTTTGTTTTCAATTTCATCTTTGCTAGAACCTCTGCTATACATCAGAATGCTTATACATGGCATCAGGTTGGACTGGCAAGGCAGGCTAGATGATAAATCCATGATGTAGATAATAATATCAACAAGAACTAGTAAGGCCACGAGTAGTGATGCTTGAGTCAGACTGGTAGTAGTAGTGATGGTACTCCATTTAGTACCAGCCTGCCTCAATGGATACCTGGTGGTATTCCAAACTCAAAATCCACCAATATTTATTTAAAAATCATACTAAAGAACTACTACTTACTGTTAGTGTTACTAATGAAAATAGACAGGTTAACCTAAATAATAGTACTACTACTACTGAGTAGTAGTAGTCGAATAACCTAGAACTCGTAGTCGTACAACTATCATCACCTACGAAATGTTAGTTATAATATCATGGTTTGAATATTATGGAACATTAAGCCTAACTTCTTGTATAATGGTAGGGTAATTAGTGTTACCTGTAATTCTTTAAATTATTATTACTATTACCAATGCCGGGATGCCAACTAGTAACCGTACCTGCGAATGCGACTTTGTGAGGCCTAATTTCAAACAAAAACGAAATATATCCAGGTGATGAATGCAAACCATCAGAATAATGAATTTTAAAAAGACACAGTAAATACGTATCTCTCGATCATAAATAATATTTGATATGTTGAAAACTGTATTCAATTTTCCTTTTTCTTCAACAGTTTATTTCAAATAAGTTAATACAGACGCTTAAAAGTTAAATTACACTCACCTTACATTAAAACCCATCCCCAAAACCTGATACTGGTTCTTGTAAAACTTAAGGTAAATATGAAAGAGTTTATAAATTGTAGATATGCGGAGCAACGTAAATTGATAATATTTATATGTAATACTAATTAATTATCAAAAAGCATGTTAAAGAATGTATATTTCAATTATAAAATGTGAAAATTATTAGTACATGTAAAAAGTAAGAGAAACGTCATCGGCATTATTATGAAATCGAATCAAAGTGGATAATATAAAGAATAGCATCCATAACACTTTATTATTGTGTTAGGCCCGGCATGGCCAGGTGGTTAGGGCACTCGACTCGCACGCTGCGGGTCGCGGGTTCGAATCCCCGTCACACCAAACATGCTCGCCCTTTCAGCCGTTATAATGTGACGGTCAATCCCACTATTCGTTGGTAAAAGAGTAGCCCAAGAGTTGGCGGTGGGTGGTGATGACTAGCTGCCTTTCCTCTTACAATGCTAAAATAGGGACGGCTAGCGCAAATAACCCTCGTGTAGCTTTGCGCGAAATTCAAAAAATAAAAACAAACAAACTATTGTGTTGTGAAGGGGTTATGAAAACTTAGCATATTTGGACTATTTCCAAATATAGATAAGGCTTAAAGGTAAATTTGACCTGAACCATAAATTCAAAAAAAATGTTCCAATTTTTTTTTTCCTTATGCGCTTTATCTTATATGCGTATATATTTCTGACCACATTAAACAGAATTGAACACTAAATTATTAACAGTGTATCGTATTGCTTTGCTTGTTTATTTCTTCCAAAAATTCGCGAAAACTACAAAAGGGCTATCTGCGCTAGCTA